CTGCAGCAGGACCGCCTGGACTGCATCCACTTGACAAGGCAGTGATACATTGGTAGATGCCACATCGGCGAGATTTATCGCAAGCGAGGGTGGGGGCATAGTCAGGGTTCCCAGGCCCCCCACCGAAAGACACCACGGGCCATGGGGCTGCGATGTCACAGCCCCCCAGTGATGCGGGAATTGGGCCTTTAGTGCCTCACCAGGGGTCCAATTTAGGGCGCATGTCCAACGACGACACCTAGCAGCAGCGCGGCGCAGACAGCTCTTGTGGCGGCAACAGGTCCCACTGCCAGTGCAGCTTGGCTCATGTGCGTGAATTTTGTGCTGACGTCTCTATTGGCCCTGCCGGCCCCATTTGCCACGTGTGTGACATGGGGCCAACGAAGACCAGGCTTGGGATTTACGTTGTAAAGACAGGTCGTATTTACGTTTTTATGCGTACACTTAGTTTTTACGTTTTTACGCATAAATGCGTAAAATTACGTAAATACAATGTAAAAACTGCCCAATGTACATAGGGACAGTATATACAGTTTTGCGGGGTCCAGAGAGTAGCAACAATACGCCCTGGAAGGGGCAAAAGATGAGATTTTGTTTAAACGCCATCATCGCTATCGCGCTGACCATTCGCGCTTGATCTGCACTCGGTCGCTCCCAGGCAAGGGAAGCAAGACCATAACCAGATGCATTACAGAATGAGTGTGTCACCATTCGTTCCATTCCCCTCTCATTTTTCCATGTACATGTCATCATAACACCATCACCACATTCACCGTGCCATACTTCATCACGTATCTCCATATGTCACACAACCACTTATCAATTGTTCTTTTGAGCCTCACAATCGCCCTTGCCAAGGGCGAGGTGGACGTTGTGTTGTGGGTGCTGGAGATTCCAGAGGGCTCATCGATATATGCAACTTTCTTCGTGTAACCTGGGTGTCCCAGGGAGCTTACAAACGTAAAAGTGACCGTAAAAATATGTTCTTTTGCACATTCAGGTTTTCGTGCATAAAATCATAAAAGCGAAAACATAAACACAAACACGAAAAAGAAGCCCTGATGAATGATCCAAAAAATTCAATGAATTTTTGCATGCATGTACTTCCTCTGTCCGGAATTAATTGTCCTCTATTCGAGAGACAAATTTCATTACAAAGAACACCTTAAATTTACAATAAAACATCAGAATCAGAAAGATTGGGTTGCAAAACCCTTAACTACCAATTTTCAAGAAAAACGTTAGTCCCAACCCCTCTGAGTGGCTCCCAAATTCGCCAAAATTCGTCCAAGAAGTGTGCGTGTAGATTCCACATCTGCTAGAGATCCGCACGTTTTTGGGTCACTCCCTTCCTTGGTGCGCCAAAGACAAGTCGTTGCCGCCTTTGTGATGAAGGGTGGCGTCCATTACGTGGAATAGCGCTTGCCAAACATGCTTGAGCGTGTTTAGATCCCCATCGTGGAAGTCCATCGTTGCAGTTTTTTCGATTTCTGAAATCTCAGCCATCGTTGATCTTTAACATGCGGACGTAAAGCAAGCGGATAAGGCTAGGGTCCAAGGCATGCAAGATTGTAATATGTGCGAGCTATTATTCCAAGGTTATGTAGTAGACTTGCTGGGACAATCTGCCTCGATGAAGGCTTGAATCGTTGCTTTTGTGGGCAACCTGGCCCACCCCACAAACTGCCACGATCTGCCAACTCCTATGTGCAATCCACAATCCATCGCAGCCCAGCAAGTACTTTTCTCCTTGAGGGACATCATTTTATCCATCCAGCTAGAGTTCTCAAGCTCAAGCCCTTCATGTGCCAAAAAATGGTCGATTCACCATTCCTGTCCAGGAAGGCCAGTGCCTAATTGCCCCCTAATTGTCGGCCGTTGAATGTGGTGATGGCCACCACCTTCCTAAAGATCTGAGAGGAACTTGGGAGGCTTCCTACAGTATCCATCGTAGTGGATTTGGAGGTCCGAAAAATCGTGGTCCAGAAATCTGGACACGATGGGCGTCTATGATTTGGCTAATGGAGACTGAATTGCAGCTGCAAGACACTGCGACTTCCGCGATCAGAACTTTTAAGACACGTCTCATGGGGCCTTTTTCCTTTGCAAGCACCTCCACGATCTTCTGTCTAAAAGGTGTGGATGTTTTTCCCAGGCGGCTCTGTTACCCTGCCGCAAAGGCGTGCTCCTCAAAACAGCGAAAATGGCCATTCCAGCAGGACTGTTAAAAAACTGGTGGGTTTCTGGCTGGATGACCCTTGCTACAAAGTGCTGCCGAGTCCGAAATACTCAGCGGATTGACTTGAAATTATGATTGCATACTCTCAAAACATAGGCGCAGTTTCGAAAGAAATTTTATTGAAAAATGAGGTATCTATGATGGAGAAGTAAGACACAAAAGTCATAGAGGACAATGAATTCCGGACGGAGGATGTAATTATGCAGCAAGGCTCAGTTCGCCATCGGCAACAGCAGACCGGAATATACCATGGTTGGACTTCTTATTTATCCACACTATGCCCCTGCGATCCTTCTTCTTATCAATCGCACTCTTGTTTTTTTTAAATTATTTTCGGCACTCTAGAATATTTAGTACCATACATTCTTTACGATATGGGCACCCATTCAAAATTCGGGATCCAGAAAATGTGCTTGTGTCCATCCTTTCCGAAAGCACAAACTACCCCTGGAATGATTGCCTCGATTTATTTCTGCTCCATCTGCACCACACCGACTCCCCTAATGTGCATGACAAGCTGAATGCCGGCGCTGTACTGCGAGTCCAGCTCCATGCAGTCAGGCTTGATACTTACGCAGTAAAAACAAATTGTATTTACGTTTTTACGCGTGAAAACGCGTGAAAATACGTAAAGACAATGCTAATACAGCCCCTTGTGCATAGGGACAGTACATACAGCCTTCGGGTGTCCGGGGAGCAGAAGCCAGACGCGCTGTAATATGCAAAAAGCGAGTCCTTGTTCCACACTGTCGTGGCCCTTACCGAGTGCGAAGTCCACGCTGTGTTGCGGGTGTTCTAGGAGGCGGAGGACTGATCATTGTGCGTGATGTTTTGCGTGTTGCCTAGATGTCACAACGAGCTGGGGAAATGTAAACACATATGCAGAAACAGCCCCTTTTGCAAATTTACGTATTTGCGCGTAAAAGCATAAAAGGTGAAGCGGACCCAGGCACGTTGAGGCCACCTGTCGCAAGGCAAAGAGATTTGGGAAATATGGGAAATACGTGCAGAATCTTGCACGTTCCTTTCTATGGCACCCCTGGGAGAGTGCTCGAAATGTACAATTTGGGCCTTGAGCAGGAACCCCCCTTGCCTTTGACGCAATATGACGAAGAGTGACATGAAATGTACCGCCAGAGACTCATATCAAGCAAGTTTCGCATGTCACTTGCACGACAGCGAGTACGTGGAGTGCCAGGAACACGACCCGACTTGGGACGTTCATTCAAAATTTGCTGTTGAGCGGGCATAGATCTCCGGCAAAAATCCCTGTATTTGGTGGGCGAGACGCCACGGGCTCCCGGGCCTGTAAGTACATGTTCATTAAAAGGAACAAGGTACCCAATCAGGGAGACCGCCCGCGTGCCATGGATCAGTGACAATTCGACAACTTGTGGCAAAACACGTCCCGGGGGAATCGCTGTATATTTGGCAAAAAAATTGTAGCACCCCGCAATTTGACACAACACAGTGACAGCCATTTGTCACAACACAGTGACAGGCTGCATAATGAGTACGTGCCCGTGCCATTTTATGTCCCCCTCACGACTGGAGGGCAGGGGCCAACGATTTCAGGGCGAGTGGATGGGATCTGGGCGCGACTGGATGACAGATTCGAAACTGAATTAGTGATAATTCGGCATGTGTGCCACACATGCCACCCTGTTGTAGTCACATACCCAGTCATGGTTGACTTCCATGAGGCTGACCCACACATTGCCAAGCACGCAGCCTGAAGCATATCTCACTGAAGCCAAACACTAGCCAACAACAGGACAGATGGCATGGTCATGGCACAGTCTGCTCAAAATCCAACTGAGCCTTGTCGGAAAATGTGGTCCCAAAATCACACGCTCAACACACAGTTTCAACCGGGTCCCCTTGGGAACCGTGTAGACTACATGGTTCCCAAGTGTACCCGGTTGAAAACGTGTAGAATGTGTGTCAATGTGTGTATTGACCGTGTGATTTGGGACCACATTTGCCGAAACGAATCAGTTGGATTTTGATCAGACTCTGTCATGACCGTGTCATCTGGCCTACGTTATTACTAGTGAAAGAGATCTGGCGGTAAGGCTGTTCCCTACATGTGGGAATTTCTAGAGTAAACACCATAACTGCCTATCCCCACCACTCCACCTGCTCCGCTTTTGGGTACAGCCACCGTATCTAGGGTTGCTGGGGCCTCATGCAGGATGCGCGGTGGCCGCGAGGTGCTTGGCCACGGTCTGCAGGTGGCGCGGAGCTGGCGGTTCGATACGTATTCCCGACGGTTGGCACCCCTTTCTCACCACGTCGTTGTGCCGCGAACGTTCAATTACTGGATATGCGAAGCGTATGATACGAGTAAATCCGAGCACATGTGGCTAGGTCATTGGCTGTTTCGCCGCTAGGGAAGCTGTACTGTGATGGGTGTCTGGGAACGAGTTGGATGCAAAGCAGTTACAGGCACATCCCAAAGGGCTTGTTCCTTCACGGCAGGCCATCCGTTCTGCCCAAGTGTCAACATGATGTCCCTACATCGCCCAGCTTCTCTTTTCGGTAAGTGATCACTGAACACCAATATCATCCTCCTGCTGCGAATCCCACATTTCATGCTCTTTTTAATACATGGTTATGCACACCCTCGGAACATGAAAGGGGAAGACATGGAAGCACATCCGCCACGCGCCTCACTCCCAATGCTAATGTGTTACCCAATGCTAACGCGTTCGGTTCCAATGGGCCAGTTTGCCACAGCATAGGGTGCTGCATGCATTCTTCAGCATATTTTGAATGCAGAATCCCACGGGCTGAAATCCACCATCTGGACTGCGGACTTGTTCTTGATCGCATATACTCTGCTAACGTCGCACAGCACGTCCTCCCGATTGCCTGTCAGATCGTCGCAATAGAGATGCCACATGCCCCACAGCCAAGGCTCGAACCACTCCTTTTCGGCAATACTGCGGCCGTCCCTCCTTTGCACTTGATCGGCATTGAAGTTCCGCATGACGCTGCACCACCTGAACAACTTTCTCCGATGAAACACAACCGCAACAGCGAAAACCAGTATACCCCAAGCCAGAACCCAGAGGTAATTGGGCGAAACTTGCTTCGTTATGATCCTCATGGGCGTGTTTACAACCACCGTACTGCCAGACAACGGCTGAGGTATGCGCAAGATGTTGGCATCATAGAAGGTGTGGGTCCAGTAGACGTTGTGCTCCTTGATGATCAGCAGCACAAGGGGGAGGAACGTCCATCCCAGAACGGTCACCTCTGGAAGCACGAATATGAGTACCGCCAGGAAGAGCTTTGCCGGAAAGACCTTGCCCATCCGAATGCGGGTACTACTAGATGGCTTGCTCAACTTGCGCAGCGCGGTTGTGTGCGGCCAGCGGGTACCGGAGCACGCCGCAATCGCTCCAGGCCAGCTCGGCTGGCGTCTGAGCCATGTACTGAGTCTGAATGATGCGCTCACCACGAGTGTCACACCAATTGACAGCTGCTCGAAAATGATGGTAGAAGTTGCCACTACGAATGCCAGGGTGATCTCAGTAGGGCTGGATGAGGTGGGTGCTTCGCGAGACACAACGGCCAGCGCAGCATCGATGGCGGGCAGCGCCGTTTCTGCCATACCAAGCGACCTTTCCACCGACACTCCGCCATTCGTTCCCGGAAGCGTCTCCAGCGACACACCTGCCTCTAAACACTGCATGGGACTCCCTGATGCATCGACTTCCTTCACCAATTTGTACAGCACGTGTCGCTTGTCTGCTGCCAAGTAGCCTGGACCCTCTTCGGCGCATTTCAAAACGTCTTCAACTTCAATTGTAAGGGCCTGGATTCCAGAAAACTCGACACTCATATTGGCGATGGAAGATAGGGCTTCTCGAACTTCGGCCGATTCCGTCAAAGAGGGCTCCATAAAGGATATGTTACCACCTTTCGTGGCAATGATGCTCGCGTCGGTGCGAGTGTTGCGGTACAGCCACAGCTCGCTCCCACTGCCAGCGTCTCCAAGATTGGCAATAAGTTTTCTAAAAATCCCGTGACTCCTTTTGATTCCCCTCGCGCTGGCGACAGGAGAGTTGTCGTCCGCAAGCCTGCGCAACTGATACTCGTGAGTTATCCATTCGGCCAACGGGTGGCTTTCTTGTCGGTGCAACTCTCTCACAAAATTCCTTAGGCCCCGCTCAGCCACTCCTCCCAACATGTACCCAGACATGCCGTTCAGGAAGCCCTGCGCGTTGGGGTTACCTTTGAAGACGGACGGGATGGGGAGTTCGGGCAGTTTGCCGTCCAGTGCGGTGCGTGCAGGATCTGCGACTCGGTAAAAATCCCCGCAGCTCAACACATGAGATGGATTGGATGCCTCAACCGCCATGAGGCATTGGTTGTCCCCGCCGTGCTTGATCAGCACACGGCTCTGGACGCAGAGCGGGTCCAGGCATCTGCAGTAGTAACGGGTCGCATCGATCCACATGGCCTTGTGCCCAGGGAGCTCGGCATACCCCGTGAAGTCATCTGACTGGAAGATGCTGGGCGCATTGACCAAAGCTTCGTAGAGGGCTTCTTCAAACGAATCTTCTGAGGAAAATTCGTCCCCGAACGACGATGACAGATACGTTGAAGTCTCGCTGCTCATGATGAAGGTCCCCAGAAAGATGCATGTGAGGTACCCGTTAGCTAGTGCGTTTTCTATGGCGTCAACATCATGGATGTCGAATGTGCCTGTCCGCTGGCTCGCTCCGATTACCATCCCAGCTGAAATCATTACTGTCATCAAAGCCCAATGCAAGACGCCGGATCGCTTGTACCTACTCATTGATTTCCGCTGTGGTGCCACAGCCTGGATGCCAAAGCACGTAGGCTGTCTCTTCGTCTTGAAAGACTGACCTTTAGGATCTTGGTGCATCCTGGACTTGATAAACATGCAATGGCAGGCGATTCGGATCCGTACGCCTTGGAAAACCTACAGTAGCACATGAAGGGCTTTCTCAGATGGTTTTAGGGGTAACTTTCGTCTTCATCGAATATATGGTTGCCAGCGTGTTTCCAATTGAGCTGGCTATCCGGAGGAAAATATGCAGGATATAATGCAACTTCAGCCTTGAAAACTTGAGACTGCCGATGTCGAGGATCTTGCTACTCCTGATTTGTTCACCTCCTTCACGAAGCTTACTCCTTCAATAGAAGTTCGACACCAATCCAGCTGTGTGCCGTTGCGACTGACCTAGATTTTATCCATTGACAACGCTGATGGCGATTGACGCTATCCGCTCCGATGGCACATTGCCACGGTGGAGGCACTCACAAGCCTACAGCTTCCTGTCCTTTCACAAACGAGAAGACACATTATTATATCTTTGCTCGCTGAAACTTCGGCAATCTTATTCTGTTTCCATTCATGGCACCTACACATAAATGATGTGTATCATAATCAAATATTGACCATCACCAGAGCAGCTGCTCCGCTTTCCCAACAGCCACATTTAAAATTCTTTTTGAAAATGTGGACACAGACGGTTGTGGGATGGTTAGAAGAATGGTAATGCCAGGTGAAAATTTTAAGCAAATTCTCCATGCTTTGCCGCAAGAGTACGCAAACACTAGCATCATGTTCGCTGAAAGTTTTGCTCGCAAATACCCCTCCACCGTGCATGCGCATGAACAAGCTGCTGGCAGTCAACAAATAAACGTCAGAAAATGCTGCCGTTCCTGGATATGCATATCCAGGATATGGCCAGATCCTGCCAAAGTATCCAGGATACCTGGCCCATGCTTTACTCAATATGCGGGATATGTAGAGTATATGGGGTCCCTATATCCTATTCTATTCGAATGGGATATTTGGGGCCCATATCCCGAAGTCGATACCCAGGATATGGGACGCTGTGCCAATGAACGAATGTGCAGCGTCATTTGGCCCAGCCTTCTGCACTCACGCTGAGTGTACAACCTATTTGTGCGCCGTCGATTCGCATAGAAGATAGATACACGCGGTGCAGCTGCACAATGCAGCTGAAAAATTTGACGTTAGCATTAGACTCATCAATGGGGCCTTCGCCAATCAGTCGGCATTTTGTTTCCTGGATCCTGGCCGGGCTACAGGCGCCCAACCCTGACTGATCGGCGGGCAGCCTCTCACGGCGAGTTTCGGTTTCACAAAATCTTTCGGCATGATTCCCGACGTAACTTTAAAGTTACGCTAAAGTAACTTTAAAGGCATAAATATTTTTCAGCGCGTTCCTCCCTTCTTCGCCCCCATGGCTCGCCACCGCGGCCGAACTCTGCCCTCTGCAGGGCCCTCCAGGAGAAACACCGACTTTTGTAGCGCGCACCCTCGCACACACCTTCGGGGTGTTCGAATCGGGCGGCAGCTCCACACGAAAAAGCGAGCCGCGACCAGGAGGCGACCGCAGGAAGCGCCGGCACTCACGTGCATAAGTGTCGCCAGGCGTGGTGGTAGCCTTTGCGGACGTGCTGGCTCACTGTTTCCCACGCTAGAGCCTCCTGTCGAATCCGGAAACAGCTTGCAACACAATTCTCAGGTGGGACTGAGGCACCACCCAAGCTGGTTCCGGAGCCACGACCGCTTAGGAAGCTGTAAACGGCACCCGGCACAGGTTTGTTGGGCTTGAAACGAGCAGATCGAGTCGGTTGGTGAGCCTCAGCTTCAAAACCACTTGACCGCTGAGCAGCTTGGCTACTCGGGGGGGTCTCGGTGAGCCCAGCCACCTGGTCATGCGCCTGAACGGGTTTCCGGGCGTGCTTTGGAGGTCGTGCCGACGGCCGCTGGCTACAGGCCATGCGTGATCGCATCCCCTCGTACTCCACGCGCAGCGACGCGGGAGCTGTTGTGCGCCGCGGCGGCGGAAGTTGCAGTCGATCCTTACAGGCGAAGCTCACCTTGAGGACAATCTGGTGCCGTTAGCGCAACGTGGTGCTATTGTGGGGGAGTCCGGACCACGGCACCAGACCTTGGGTCTGGTGAAGTGGCCAGAAGCGTCCGCGGGTGCGGAAGGTCCTAGCGACGCAGAAAACGGTCTATGGGGATGCCCTAACTGGGACAGTCTGTCGGGGACACGCACAGACAAGTGCCCAGGGACTCCGGAATGGTCACCAACACTTAGATGGGCCTGGTCGGGGAGCACACGGCTGCTGGTTGCTGGCTTCCGGCGCGACGAAAGCGCCTCCAGCAGTGTTTTCGGAGCTGTCGGAGATCTGCCCTCCGCGCCAATCGCCGGTTGGAAGCAAGTGGATGCTGCCCGTGGTTTTTCACTCACCGTCTCGAGCGCGGCTCCGGCGGCGTGCGCAAGGGCCTCGGTCGAGATGGGCGTCAAGGGGTCCATGGCTGCCCGCCTGTGCCTGCGGCAGAGAAGGCGCAAAGGGAGGGAAAATGATAACGGGGCCGCGAATGTTCGCATCTGAAAAGGTTGCCGAATCAGGAAAGACTTGGCGGCCAGCCCTGGGGAGGAGTGAGATGGATGGGGTGGGCGTCTGGTCCGCGTAAGGTGCGCTAGCCTTGCAGGGCTCCCGCGGGCCTGAGGCTGCGTCACGCGAGCTCACCTCCCGAGTTGCTGGCTGGGACCGCTCCAAGGGGCTGCCAAGGCCTCGGTGCTGCGGTGGTGTGGTTGATGGCCGCCTGAGTCGACGGCTTAAGAACCGTCAGTCAGCGGCAACAACGTGGCCGACACGCACATGAGGAGTTGGGGTCCTGCCCTCACGCAACATGAGGCGGGGCACTTGCAGGCAGGTACCAGCAGCTCGTAGTCTGACTGTGCCGCAGGGCAGCGGTGACATGAAAGGTGTGATAAAGAGACACGCCAACAGAAGCTTGGAACGTGGTGTGGGAAGCGGCATTCAAGTGGATGGACACCGGGATAGAAAGGAAGGTGGTGTGGGGTGGAAGGAGTTGCACGGCAGGATAGAAGGGGGTGTCCACCCTTTCTGCCCACATGCCATCAGCATCGCTCAGTGCATTTTTACTTCTAGTAGCCCATCACTGAACACCAATAGTTAAAGGTGGAGCTTGTAGGAGCACTGTAGTGCTCCTGTTCCAAACGCCACATTTCATGGGTTGATTCACGCATCTTGAGCACCCTCACGCACATCTTCGAAATATGAAACGGGAGAGACATCTAGGGACAGCGATTCTATTCCTTTGAAGATTATTGTGCATCCCAAATCAAACTAATGAGGCACCTACCGTTTGTGGCGTTCGCGAGCCACACGAGGGCTGGTAAGACAGCTTTTCGTAAGAATTTGTTACATTTCTAAAGTCCCTAAACTCCTGATGCTGCAACACATAGAACTGAGGGTTGCAAATAAATGTAGTACATCCGGGACGCGCCCCACTGCCAGCTATCCAATGCCAATGGGTTCGGTTCCAACCAGGCTTGATTTTTACGCTTGCATTCTCGTTTTCCCGTTTACGTTTTCACGTTTGCTTTTCACGTTTACTTTTCTGCATTTGCGTTTTGACATTATGTTTACGTTTTGACGTTTATATGTCAATGTTTATTTTTTGGCGAGTACGTTTGACGTTAACATATTTATGTTATGTTTACGGTTTTTCGTTTACGTTTTTACTCGGCAAAACGTCAATTTGTGACAAATGGTATTTTCGCAGCCATTTTTATGCTTTGCCGGCACGTTGGGTGGGCCAGGTTACACTATGGAAGTTGCGTACAATGATCAGTCTTCCGTCATCCCCAGCACACCCAACACAGTGCCCGCCTCGCCCTCGGCAAGGGCAACGGCTGCATGGAACAAAAGCTCGTTCTATACCCATTCCTGCGAGTCTGACTGCCACTCCCTGGACTCCACAACTCTTTATGTACTGTCCTTATGTACACGGGACTGTACTTACGCTGTAACGACTTATTTTTATGCGTTTTTGCGGGTAAAAACGCAAGAACAATTTTGCGCGTAAAAGCGTAAATACACTCAAGCTTTATTGCATAAGTGCGCTCAGTTCTTAAGGCGTAATACCCAAGCCTGGTTCCAACGGGCCGGCTTGTCGTATGTGTCCGGGATACGCTCGAACGTGAGGAAAGGTTACACAGAACGCGCGGACAGTTTGGGTGTGTCAGAGCGATCCCCAATAACAGAGGCAATGTGTTCGTTGAAGTACGGCAAAACCAGCTATGGTTGCGCCATCCGGCGCAGCACCCGAAGGGCCACTCGGAGAGTATTCTCCGCGTTGCAGTATGCTCAGTGGCGAGCGTGCGGCACCGATACCAGCGGACAGCCTAGGGAACGCGCAGGCGATGGGCGTGGGATATTTCAATGTCTGCTGAATGGATAGATGCCGCTATCCACAGCACGTGAGGTGGAAGCAGAACTCAAAATAGCATGTCCACCGCCAGTTGGCCTCTCTTGGTTACAAAGGGGAAATCAATGTGTGTCCCCGCAGGAATATTTCTACTGGATTGTTTTCATGGGGACGCTTTGCCTTTGAGGGGCAGGGGGCGAGATCTGATGTTCAGAGAGTTGATTCTCGATCCTGAACAAGTCGAAGCTCAGCCCAGGAGCTTCACAGTTAGATTGATTCCAGTAGCTTCAAAGTGAAACTGTTCACGGGAACATTAGGGTCAAGCCCCTCCTAAGAATTCCGCAATGAAGCTGCTGTCGCGAGTCCATGACACGGTCGCGAATATCGCTGCCCCCACCCCTACCCCGCATTCTGTGACCATCATCTCGCATGAACGGATCTGCAGTGCGCTCCGACTTCCAGCGCGGATCCGCGCCTACGCAGGTGCCCCTGCCTCACCGCAACTTCCTAAGCAGGTGAGCCACGGCCAAAACAATGTGCTCCTTATTGCGGAGTGCCAAATTCGTTGTCCATGCCATTCGTAGCGGAGGGTGGTGTGGATCCGCGGGCAGGAACAGTGGCAGTAAAGACCTCGAAACTTTCCTAGAGCGCGACCCGTTCTCTTCTATTGTGGAAAAGAGCCATGAGATAAAATTCCAAAAGGAAAGAAACAGGCTTGGTTTTTACGCGGCGTAAAAACCAACGGCGGCCGTAAAACTGATCGTATTTACGTTTTTACGCGCAAAAATGCGTAAAAATGCGTAAATACAACGTAAAAACTGCCCGGTGTACATAAGGACAGTACATACAGGCTTACAGGGTCCGGAGAGTGGCAGTCAGACGCCAGGGAAGGGGCAGAAAACGAGCTTTTGTTAAACACCATCATCGCCCTTGCCAAGGACGAGCTGGACATTGTGTTGCGGGTGCTGGAGATGGCGAAGGGCAGACCATTGTACTTTCATCCCATAACCTGGGTGTTTCAGGGAGCCGCAAAAACGTTACAATAGTGGCAGAAATCTCTTTTGCAAATTTACGTTTTCACCCATAAAAACATAAAAGTAAAACGTAAATGTAAACGCAGAAACCAAGCCTGGAAAGAAACGGCCAAATGACACGTGCTCAAACGTTTACAGAGTTTACGGGTTTGGGTTATTTACGTGTTTTTAGTATGCACAATACTGATGCAATGCATGTACATGTGTTCGCAAGAAGTGTTATTTGGTCCTTTTCCCGCTAGTGTTCCCAGCTCGTGACCGGAAGTTTGAATCACGAGCGCCGACCCCAGCACAATGCGCAGCTCTTGCAGCAGAGCGAATGTTCTTGCAAGCACGGTTGGCTGGCCTTGCCGCTCCTATCCCGGATGCCTGGCCAACCGGGTGACCGCCTCGCTGGGTGGCCCTCGGGTGCCTGCTCACCGCGAGCCGCGACTGCCAATCCCCATGACAGCGCTTGCGCATCTTTCATGGACCGAGCTGTGTCACAGCCCCGTGCGTGGGGCCTCTGAAGTTGCCAGGGTCACCAGCGGGTTGCATGGCGTGCGGCGCAGAGGCCAAGGGGTGCCTGGCCGCGGTTTGCAGGTGGTTCCAAGCGGGTGGGTCAACATGATTTTCCACCGATACCCGCACTGCAGGCATCCATTGGCCGGACATGAATACACAATTTGGGTAGCCCAAAGGGCCCCAGATTGGATGGTACCCCCTTTGGCAAACCCATACACGTCTTGTAATATCAACATAATACGCAAGCGTTCTTACAAGATTACTCAACAAAACCTGCACCTGCAAAATCTCATCAAACTACTGAACTGGACATGGAAAAATGCCAATTTGAGGTGAGCAAACACAATCATAGGAAACTGAATGCATCCCAAATGCATTGCACTCGTTGCCAAAGCCTATTTCTCGACTTGTATCGAGACAGCTACGCACACGCTAGAATACAGAATGAAATCTATGGATACACAGCTACAATACAGGATGAAATTGACTGGCAGTGGTGTGGTGGAATATAAACCCCTCTTCCATTTTCAGCGCCATACGGCTTTCGTTTCCTAGCCCCATCGCTGGCCCGAACCAAGCACATTCATAACGCCTATCAAATCAATTGCACAGGACCATCAATATTGTTGCGGTGATAGCTGCCGCCAGCATCAGCGCAGTTGCAGCATCCTGGGCAAAACAGACAGCATTTCGTCAAATTAAGTCAATCTATCACGTCCACTCCGTCCCATGGAATATTTAGTCGGTATGCACAAATCAGAGAGCACAAGAAGATCAACACCTGGGGATTCAGGTTCTTTCCTGACGCTGGATCAACAACAACGCAATCCAGCCAAGAACAGAGGAAAGAACAGAAATTTAACAATTTTCCATGCATTTCCATCATGACCCCATGCAACTACAACACAGAGTATTACTTAACAATGCCGACCACATGGAAGCAGATCAACGAATGGGACGACAGATGCAAAGATCCAAAACTTGAATGTCAAGCAAGACCATGTTTTAATTACACCGACAGTCTACACTCTTAGTACTGGTGGACAACACAATGAACATAGGAATTTCGGCACCTGCTGAGAATGTCGAGCGTCAATCCAGGGCCGAACCTCGCTGATGAAAAGGCAGGTCGCGCCTGTCCTGTTATGTGCTGCGGTCACTTGGCACAGCGCCACCAGCAGGTCCATATTTGGGTCCACGTTTCCGATGGGATTCAACCCCGGTGGCTTATCCGGCTCGAGTACCACATAATCTGCAGCAGCAGAACGCAAGCTATGACCGGAAAGGAATAGGAACAAGATAAGCCAATGGAGGGCAGCAGCTACATCATGTGTAGCATGTTCGAAGATTACATACACATCACACAAAAGGTGAGAGGGGGGTCCATTCCGTCGATTCTACGGATGCAACACATGAGGATGCATGCCAGCTCTGTCTGGAAATCGCCTTGGAGAGTGTGCTCAACTTCAAGATTTGCGTTCCACCAGATTCTCTCATATTTATGCCAACTGCGATGCCATTTGACACAGATTGATGG